ACTACATGATCTTTAAGGTCCCTTCCATCGCAAACCATTCTATGATTCTACGATTGCTGCAGTGATTTCTCTGAGACTATGAGTGCATTTGAATGGATACAAACTAAATTATTTTAAAAAACTTTTTTTTTTGAGGGCAGAAATTCTGGTGGCATAACTTGAAGGGTAGAGTTCTGTCTGGTAGGCAGCAGCAAGAACATCATGCCAAATTCCACAGGTGACAGGCATTAACCATGAACAATGAATGATTTAAAATGTGCACTGGGATTGTATTTGTTAGAGAAGATGCTTATAAAAGTCCTGAGTTGCACATAAGATGAACAAACTGCCAATGGGTACAAATGCCATGAAGTAGTGGACTAAATCTACACTGTGGCATAACAAAACTTCTTATTGCACAGTAGTTTCACAGCAATATCAAGACTTGAGATTGCATTGCTATTAAGTAACTCTTAACATTCTATAATACAAAGTACCAAATTCAATTGAAATGCTGAAAAATAGTTTAAAAATGAAGAAAAATAAATAATAGATCTATTAAAAAATTAACCAAATGTAAACCAACAAGTGCTACCGATACATACAGATTTGCATCAGCCCAGTATAGCTGCTGTTCTTCATAGTCCAGGGTAAGTCCATTTGGCCATACCAAATTGGTGCTCACAATAGGTGTTCTGAAGTTTCCTCCAAGTGTAGCCCGTTCTATCTTTGCATTTGAACTCCAGTCAGTCCAGTACATATACCTGTCAATAACATGATTACAAAGTTATATTTTCAGCAAATAAAGCTCACAAAGCTCGTATCTGCTCCAGGGTATTTCCACCCTGGTGTCTGTCACTGAAGCACGCAGTGCAAAACTAGTGGAAGATAACTTCTTCCTCTATTTTGGCCCACATTGACAAGGGAATCTTCTAGCGGGGATCACTGAGGTTCACTGGAGTGAACTTCAGGAAAAAAGTTTCCAGCTCCTATGAGAATACAGTAATCTCTTATCTTCCTTCATTTGAAATACATTATAATTAGTAATGAAGTTAGAGATACAGTATAATACAGTAATGCCCCCAGCCTCTAAGGGAATGTTTTGATGCTGAAACAAGAATTCTTCTGAGGCACTCGGGAAATACAACAGAGAAAGGGAAAGATCCTGTAAGACTCTAAATAGAGAGATGTCTTGGCAGTGCCACCTGATTATCACGATATGATATTTTTTAAGAAATCTTGGTTTCAACAAGTACCTTTTGTTTTTCTGCCTTACACAGCAAATGGAGGATGGTTAATTGCTTGACAAACACCTGCTTTGAACATCATTCTCATTTACCCCCAGTACCAGGCTCCCACCCTCATTAAGTGGAGCCTCATGCACTACACATTCATGAATGTTCTAAAGATCTCAGAAGAAAATTCAAATCTCTGAGGCCAAGATCAGCTTAGAAAACTTAAAGAGTTAGATCTAGGATGGTTATGCACAGCTGGAACTTAGGGCTCAGAACAGGAAGTATCTCGCAGTCTTTGTGAAAGTCCAAATCGTAGTTTCACCTGCAGTCAAAATAAAGTATACAAAGTGCAACACATACCCTCTGCAGGGATCTAATACAATGGCTCTTGGTCGTGGAACCCGAGCAATCACTGTGCGGTTAGATCCATCCACAGCCATTGAGCTGATAGTCTGATTGAGGTAGTCACTGTAGTACACTCTGTTGTTGATCCAGTCAAAGGCTATGCCATCTGGAGTCCCCAGGTCTTAGACACATGCAAGCAAACACACACAAGTTCACTACGGTTTCCTGAGATACTGCAATACTCTCTGCCTCTTATAATGTGGCAATACCAGAGAACTCTTTGAAATGCTATTGGTCTCAATGCAAATTTGTCCATTTAAAAATCTGAAGAACTAATACTTAGGACTCAGGCAGTCCTGCGTATGCAGTAGCGTTACAAAGACCTTTCCCTCACACAGACCTAAGTTCTGGTTGCTATTCTCCAAGTAGCAGGAAATCGTATCTCTCTCTGTAATATTAATTTACTACATGTAATTTTAATTTATTACATATAATTTTACAAATATAATAATATTTAACCAGTTTTATATTTCCATTTTATTGTGATCAAGATGAAATAAGAATCTCAGAAGAGGAAAAAGCTGAGGAGAAGGGTCAACAGGAGCATTTAATCAGATATCTTAACTAAATAGTCTACCTTGACCATTAGCATAAAAATACCTGCTGATCTAGTGCTAGGTGCTGCAGTCCATTTTTTTCAATATCCAGTTACTTTGTATCACATTTCAGTGCACTTACCAGATGCAACTATTGTTGGAGAGCCAATTCCTGAGTAAATACTAACATAACTGATTCTTCCTGTCCCTGAAGGATAACTTTGTGTAAAATATATTCGGTTGTTTATGCTGTCAAAATCCAGGGCCACTGCAGTTCTTAACACATTGACTGTGCGGAAGGGAGGACTGTGATTTTCAGGATCTAGATGGATACTTCTGAGGGCATTCTCAAGAGCAAAAATCAGATAATCATCAGTTGAAATGGAACATCTCTTGCCGTCACTGCCTAGCGTTCCAAAGGCACAACCACATTTGGGTGTCTGCATGTCAGGCAGGGCAAAACACAGATGAGAACAGCCTCCATTGTTGTCCAAACAAGGATTGTTGTTGACATCAAGGGGTGAACGTGACTGGAAATGACTGTTGTAAATGGTAACATCCCTTAGCCAATTAATGTTGTCTCGTATTACCGTTGGCTGATCAGTATTGCCTGGCTCCTTGCTGGCTTGGAAGACTTTTTTCAGGTTCCGATCCACCCAGATCATAGAATTTCCAAAGACAGTGATACCATACGGAGTTGGATAGCGACTGCCATAACGCACAATTTCAACATCACCACCATCAGGTTGAATTCTTGCAATCATATCTAAGGAATCATCCACCCAATAAATGTAGCCATTGCTGTGATCTATGGCCAACCCACGAGGTGTGACAATGCCCTCAGACACAAGAACTGTTCTGTTGGTGCAGTCAAGAAACGCACGTTCAATCTTCGGATTTTGCCCATAATCTGCCCAGAATAGATACCTGGTTTTTGGGTCAACTACTATGTGCCTTGGCATATCTATGGTAGTTTTAAGCAAAACACGGCGGTAAGTTGTGTTTAAACGCAAAACTTCTATAAAAGTCTCTGTCAGGAATGCATTTGTAAAATAAAGATTTCCTATATTTAAAGGAGAAAAAAACCAAACAAAACAGAGAGTTAATATAAAGCATTAACACCTGAGAAACATGAGCTGGTAAAATACTAAACCATAAATGAATATGCATACATATCTTCGTAGCTGGAAGCATAAGGCACTTGCCTACACTTTGAGGAACTAGACAGAAGACACCCAATCTGACAATAGCCAATTAATTTCTAAATCCTCATTGACTGCCATGGGGGAAATCAGTGGTATAAGATCAAAAGTGCATTAACTACAGTTGTTCTTTAGATGTACTTTTTTTTTTTTTTTAAATCTAAGCCTTTGGCTTGCCCTTCTGTACTCCTATTCCTTTACCTTTTACAACACACAACTATGAAATCCGTGTTATGGCAAAGCACTACATACAGTAACTAAATTAAGTGTATACAGTAGACGATTATTCTAAAACTCATCCTAACAAGCCTATTAATCAACAGAAGAGCTTTTGCAAAACTTATATATAGGATGTGTATGTATAAAACAGAGGTATTAATGGCAATGATCAGCTACTTAGAGTTGATGAACACTTTCTGAAGAGTTAATATTTCAATTAATATCTAATATGTTTAAATAGGAATAGGAAGTGCAAGTGGGGAAATTAAAATTCAAAGATAAAGTATTTCTTCTGCTTTCTTTGCTTTTCATTATAATTTATAGGATTTGTACACAGAAATGTGAGGGTAGACGAAGGATCCTTCTTTCTTATTAACAATGTCATCAGACAAATTTTCTGCACTCCTCTCTGGTAGGTTTTTCACTATAGTAGTAAAGTATAGTAGTACACTGAACAACAGCTACTTATGAATGTACAGACAAGAAGAGAGTCCTAGGACAAATATGGAAGCATCACAAGAGAAAAGTTTCTATACATCTGCTCTGATAAACTTTCATTTTTACATATATATACATATATAAAAAAACATGTGAGCCATTCATTACTTCCTCTTGTTTTAAAATCAGTAGAATCACAGGACTTCCACTCAAAATAATTCTATTAGGATCTGTTTATGTTACTCTAAAAAATTTACAATCTGTAAAGAGTAACATTCTCCTAAGTTCAGCTACACTTACCTGCTACCCAGTCAATTGCAATGCCACGGATCCCATTTCGTCCTATTCCATTTGTAACAACATTTCTAAAATAAGAACCATCAGGTTTAATTTTACGTATTGCATTCTGAGAAGAAATTGTGCTACTGAAGTCACACCAGTAAATGAAACCAGAAGGCATGTGAACATCCACATGAAGTGCATTTCGTCCTGAAATATTTTCAAAAGTAATAATTAATTATCTTTGATATAAACTAACTTATTTAAAACACGTGCTATGCCAGTAAGAAATGCCAAAATATTAGGCATTATAAGACTGGGTTTTTTCCTACTGTCATATTCACATACCTCTTCCTGCCAGTGGTACCATGGCTTCAGAGTGATCAGAGGTCTCTAAACTAAATCCTTTAATTGCAGAAAGCATAGAAACAATTACAAATGAACTGTAAGGGGAACAGGTTCTGTTATCAGGATTTAGCTGAAAGCCAGTAGCACAGGCACAGGAGAATAATCCATCGGGTACAGGCAGGCAAAGCTGCTGGCAAACTCCAATATTATTACTGCAGCCATTTGACGAACCAGCAGAATCTGTGAAAGACATACAAGGCAAGACATAAAAATCTGAATTGTACCATCACAAGCTCCCACGGATATATAACCAAATTCATATACTTGCATAGTATTAATAACCAGCTGACAAAAATAAAGATTTTAATCACTGTACATTTTAGCACATGAACGTTACCAATGGATTCGCTGGTTTCTTGTCATCTAAGATCAATGGGGCCAAGAATGAGATAAAACAGATACATAAATTTGAAGCCAACTTAACAAAATTTGTTATTTAGTCAATATTACATTGGTAATACTTTAGTAAAACCAGATGTGTCAATTGATGCCTTAATTGGATGGTGGAACATCTCTTTACCAAAACCAGGTTAAATGCTTCTGACACTTTTTCTGAAAGCCTAATCAAACCTTTTCCTTTGAAAGAGCATGCATTCTCTCTCTGAGGGAAGTTTGAGTTTTCACAAGTTGGATATCCTGAAATACCTCTTTAGCAAATACTCACTGTCTCTATAATATACACGTAGGCACTTCAGTCTTGGGACATTATCTCTCAGTACTACTTTGTTTGCTCCAGTGGACTTGTCAACTCGTTCAATAACTTCATAATCTCGATCAGTATAGTATAGAAAGGTATCATACACAGCAATTCCCCATGGATGAGAAAGATGAACCACCAGAGTCACACGATTTGTACCATCCACATTGCCTTTCTCAATCTAAGAAAACAGTTTAAAGCTTAATATTACATTTCTTATTATAAAAGTTCGATGTTACAATACAAAATTAAAACACAACATGCTACTAAAATCTCTTCATGCATGAGATCTTTATGCACAAGGTAGGAAGGAAAGGGTCAGCAGGATGCCAATAATGATTTCTGTTTTTTCATTAAAATTCATCATATACTTTTAATGCTAATTAGTAACAACAGTTATTCAGGTTTTGCTTGGTCCTGCACTCCCAGTTACATAAGTAAACAAAAGTAACTGAATTACTCATGCGAACCATAGACGTAGAGGTAGATAACCAGGTTAAAAAAGCAATTATTAAAAAAAAATAAAATCTCCTACCACTCCTGTGCTTGTGACAGCCCAGTACAACTTTTGTTCTTTAATGTCAATGGTAATGAACTCTACATGGTCAAGGTTGCCAGTGAAGAGGGTTTGTATGCCTGATCCATCCATGCTTGCACTGGAAATCTTTGCTGGGACTCCACTGTCAGTTCCCTGGTCTGTCCAGTACAGCTTCCTGTAACACACATTATCCCATCTGTTAGCAAAGCTGATAACAACAGACACCAATGGACCAGAGTCACTTGAGCATATGCTTAAATCCATCTCCTTCATCAGCCAAATACTTCAGCACATGCTGAACAGAGATCACTTTGAACTGGGCCACAATGAAAAAGAGATTTTTGCTTGAAAAAAAAAAAAAAAAAAAAAAAAGAAAAATGCTTGTTCTCTGAAGAAAGAGAAACGCTTTCAAAAAGAGAAATGCCTGTTTCTCTTGAAAAAGATAACAATGCCTGTTAAACCGTTTTTAGAAATCCATAACCTCCCCTGTATCATCCCACAATACTGTCAGCAGGTAAAATCAGTAGGGTATTAGGACTATAACAAGAAAGCAGGAGAATAATAGCTGTTTCACAGATAGCTGCAAGATATCAGCAGTGAGTTTGGTTCCAATTTGGAATTAAAACTACAAGTTCACAAAATCTATATGAAACAGAATGCCATTATTTGGTTCTGGGGAATATGTGCACCACTTGGGCCTCAGCTGCTGAAGAACACCTAGGCCACATGGCAGCCAGACTCCCAACTTGGGACAAAAAACTCAGGCATCAATTCGTCTGAAATCCTGTCAAGTCACCAGCAGAACCGTCTCATTACTCATTACTAATATGGTCCTACTGAACACTATGGAACACTGTGATGGGGGGGGGGTCGGGTAGGTTAAAAAAAAAAGCTTCATATTGCAATTATGAGTATTCTGTTGGAAAAAACCAGCTCTTTTGGGGAGAAAGCAATAAAAGCGTATTTAGTGCTATGCTATTTAACTTGTGCCATTCTTCCCATACAGTGTGTCTTTCTACTATAGATAGGCCTCAAGACAGATATCACAAGATATTATAGAGACTTTAGAGCTCTCTTTCCTCTGGGTTCCCATTTTTCAGAGATTTTTTTCCACAATCATAACACTCCGTGATTCTTTTTCATTAAAAAATTTCACCATATAAGTGTATGTTAAATTAAGGAGAATGAACACCTAACACAACAATTCATGACCCCATGCAATTATTTTCCAGGACTTAAAAAGAGTAAATAAATTCTGCACAACTATGAAAAAAACAAAGCCATGCCAAATCCAGGATGGAAGCTGAAGATCCTAAAAATTAAGAAAAATGTGGAGAATATACTCATGTGCAAAGACAACAGCAATTTTCAAAATTTACCCTCTCGCTGGATCAACTGTCAAACCAATTGGTGTGCCAGCTCCCAGAGAAGTGCCATCATTGGTAATCAGTGTTTTCCTGTACATTACGTCACCATGCAGCTTCAGGACCTATGCAAACATTGAACTCATCAAAGCACGTAATATAGAACTTATGATAGATTTTCAAATTAAAGGAAGGAAGCCTAAATCCACAGGGAGTTGAAATTGCAGAAGAGTCTCTCAAATACTACGAAGAAAAAGCACATTGTTCTCTACTTTAAGCATCTCCCTTCTCTAGCATGCACCCCTTGAACGAGCTGCTTGCAGCTTAGAACCTGCCTATGTTAACAAGTAAGTGTCCTAGGCATAAAAACGGTTAAACTTTCAGTTTCCATAAAAGTATTCCATGAAAGTATTACAGGCTGAATGGCTGATGAAATGCTGATTTAAAAAGTATTCAATTTTATTGTTTAAATTAGCTGCCTTTTAATTTAATAGTACGTATTTATATTCTGGGACAAGGACATTAATGACTGGGCTTATTCACAGTCATTACTGTACTATATATGGTTTATCCTCTGTTTCCTTTACACTAAATGGCAATTTGATCCTTCACATACCAGACTGTTAGTCTCCAGAAAGCTACATAATATGATTATCAAAGCATTTGGGAATGGATCTTACTGCATTTGATGGCAACGTTCCTTTACTATCAGAGGCATTGCATTGGGATCATTGATTTGAAATGAGAATAGTAATAATAATAGTAACTCCAGTGATCAGAGAGGTTGTGTGTCAAACATCAGAGGCCTAATGACTTGAAACAAGGGAAGAAAAAAAAAAACCCACAACAAACAAAAAAACACCAAATGAAAAAAAAAAAAAAAAACAGCAAACAAAAAAAACCAACAACAAAAAAAAGAGATCTATGCACAAATAAAGTTCCCAGAATATGCTGCTTTCAGTCTTTTCGACTATGGTCAAATTTAGGTTTCTCTCTTCAAGTTTGTATTTTTCTACAGACTCTTCAAGTTTGTATTTTTCTACAGACTGTTTGCATTTTAAAATAAATCTAATTTCAGTTTTTCACTAAAAAAAAATATTACTAATTTCAACCTGTATACATCGCAGCAAAAAAAAAAATATCTAGGCTCCTACTCTCCACTTTCCTCTTAAATTGCCTTAAAATTCCATTCCCTCCCTTTCCACTACTTTCCATGTCCCTCTTCTGTAATTACCTCAATTGACTGTGTCCCTGGGTTACTGTAATACAGGTTTGCAGATATCCAGTCCAATGCCAGGCCAATAGGAGCACCAATAACAGCTGCAGGAGCAAAAACTGTCCTGTTGGCTCCATCTGACCTCACTCTGTGAATTTCACCCTTAGAAAAAAAGATAACAAAAATGAAAAAATGTCGAGAGCAGAAAACACTGTTCTATTCCACCTACGTGAGCACTTACTTTATATAACAATCTTTTCTTAGCAAAATGACAATCCAGTAGGAAAAACTGTATTTGTATATATTCAATGCATAAACATGGTAAAAATACTACTATAAATTATAATTATCCAGCGTGAAGACTCACCAGCGAAAACCTGATCAACAGAAATAAAATATTTTATACATTTGAAAAGTGTATATTTAAGCTAGATACAGTCACATTTCTGTAATTTACCTCAGTTAACCATCTTGATTATACCTGAAATCTAGTAAAGGAGAATAGTGTTCTCTCCATGCATATATATTTAAGAACCAAATTTTTAATAAGCTGTAATAGCAAGAGTCAAGACCAAGATCATCCTTGCAGGTTTCTTCATAAGGGTAAACACTTGAAATGATAACTTATGACTTGCTGATTCTATGGTTTTAGCTACACTGTGTGATGCTAAAGCATGATATAAATAAGCACCAAACAGAGAAACAAGCCAGATGAAGGTCTGAAGTGGTTACTATAGCTGCCTTCCTGAGCTTTCTTCAGGTTATGTCAGCTTTACAGGAGTTCTGCAGAAGTCCTGCGTATTATCATGTGAATCTTTCACAACTTGTATTAATGCAGAATTGAAATAACAGCAGCTATCGCACATTATGAAGCCTTTTGGAGAAGCAGGAGGTCAGTAGGGTTAGAGGAACTGTGAGAGTGTTGAAATCTGTTTCTCTCTCCTCACTAATTACTTCCTCCTCCCCTGATGCAGACATGCTGCACCTGTCCTGGGAAAAAATCTCACTCCGTGGTGCAGGCCCCCAGACAAGGTAGCACTGGGACCCACCACCCCAGTTCTTCAACTGAGGCAACACGTGTAGTAGGTCTGTTCTGCTCTGGCACTTCACTGGAAAGACAGAGGGGCATTGCCAACTCAAAAGGACAGAACATACAGTGCACCATTAGAGCCTGAACTTTGCATCACTTGAAGACAGAAGCTGTTCAGCTAACACTAGCCCAGTTCAGGAAGCGAGGAAATATAGGCAGAGATAGAGCAGGCCCAAGCAGTAAAAAAATGGAGAATAGGTTGCAATTGCCATCTCAGAGCAGAAAGAAGGTAGAATCAGCTTTAGGAAAAGCAGCCAGTGATCATTTGCTCCATGCATATTCTTAATTGCTTTGTTACCACGATATCAGTGTACTGACTTATTTAGTCAGTGCAGAATTGAAAGCGGTGCTTCAGAAAGGAATCAACACATCAGATAGCAAAAGTCTGAACAAGAACTCCAGGCCGAATTCACTGCTGGCTTAAATAGGTAGAATTTCTTAAGACACCGGTAGACTGCTGCTTGCTGAATCATAACAATGTCATGCTATTTGCAAATTAACCTGTCCTTGAATCCCTAGGCCTACAGAACAAAGTAGGAAAGTAAGATAACTTTTGGTACTGTATAAATCCTACTTCAAGAGCCTGATGACCATTGGATATTTATAACAGTGTCTAGTATGATAGGCACTTTAAAGACAGTTAGGAATCCTTCTGCCTATTATTGACATTTACAATTAATAACCCATGGAACATGACAGATAAAACATGAAGATAAAAATACTTTGGAAGTGTAAATCTTGTGTGGATGTAAGGTAACAAGTTAGTGTGAATTGTTTCTGTAAAATTTCCTTATTTACCATTATACTTCTCCAGGACCTAAGCACTGCTTTTCTTGAAAAAAGAACTGCTTTTAAGTTTCAAACAGTGAACACATATTGCTGAATCAGCTGTTTCCTACCACATCCATCCCCCAGACTGCCACAGATGTTGTTTTTTTTTTTGAAGTGTCCATCTTGCAAAAATTGGGAATTTTTTGTGGCAAGTTAGCCTTAGGGAATACATATCACATCTTAGTTCAGGACAAGCATTAAAAACGCTTAGTCAAACAATTATAATCAACTATTAAAAATTGGTTCAAACTATTTTTCAGATCTAAGCCTCGTACATGCTACCTGGAAATTGTTGTGACTTTGCAACCATTTTCTTCTATTTAAAGAAAAAGATGCCTCTCTACTATGTTGCTTCATTAAGTGCTTGGACTAGTTACATGTATATTCATTCTAATGCTCAGTGCCGCTGTGTTCAATGTACTGCTCCCATGAAGAAGTGTTCCAGCTGTGTTTGCAGAATTAAGTCCTAAGTCAAGACAGGCAAGAAAAAGTGGTCTGTAGCAAAGAGGGGCTAAGCATATGGTTCTGTCAATGCTTTCCAATATTTCCTGTTCATGTCTCTGCCTGAGCTAGAAATAACGTCAATCAAATAATTCAGCTGACAAAGATGAAAACTAATTTACAAATGAGATGAAGTTTCTTTATCTTATCCTAGAGGGGGGAGGCAAAAAAACCACACACCCACACAACCCAAAAAAACTCCCCTTTCATTCCTTTCAATTATATTTATCAAAATTCTTATCTTTAATGCTAATATATTTCAGTCAAAAACATTATTTTAAAATAAAAAGTCTTATTTTAGTACACATTTTGAAGACAAATACTAACTTACCGGGTTTTCAACCCAATAAATCATCTGTTCGGAGTCATCAAAGTCAACATCAACACCATTTTGAACTCCTGCTATTGGAACCATAGCATCATTTGTCTTCTCCTCAGGGTTCAGAGAAATTCCATAAATTATATTATCTCTTACAGCAATAAGGAAAGGATGTTCAACTGTGAAAACATATAATGTAATTCAGAGTTGTTTCTGACCAAGAAAATGGCATTATGATATGCTTCCCCTCTCCCACCCAAAAAGTCCCTGATGCTGAGAATGGTTGAATGCTACCAGTGAAGTTTTGCAACCACTGACCTGTAAGTTTGTTCCCTCACTAGCAGTGGGGTTATCAGTTATTGTAATTGCTGTAACATTTAAAGTTTCAGCACTGTACAATCACAATGCATGTGCAAGCAAATTCTGAGGAGGAATTATATAGGGCAGGATCACTCATTGCTGGCCAAGGGAAGTAGATTCATGCAGGTCCTCTGAGCAGCTCTTTCAAATCTCTGAGAATGGGAACCAGCAGGACAAAGCTCTGAGGGCTCTCCAGGACATGCCTGAAATGGGTTCTAATGCCTATTAAGCAGGACTTACAAGCAAGGCACAATGTCACAGCAGCAATTGCTGCTAATTAATTAAAAAAATAAATAAATTAATTAATATTAATTAACTATTAAAACTTTTAGCAATTTTTATTATTAAACATAACTGCAGCACCGTGTTTTCTTGTTTTATCTCTGAGTAGACATACTCCCTTATAGTATATTTACTTTCCGGTAAACTTTTACCCTTATGCTTAAACCTTATTAACCAAAGGGCATCTGGTCAGGTGATCTGAGAAAATGCATTGGAGAGCTGTAGAGTGATAGTTAGGAACTTCATTTCTCATCTGCTAGGG